GTCCTTGTGGGCGATGAAATATTTTCCACTCTTTAACTCCTTTCTCAGAGGCAAAACAATGCAAGTCACCCATTGCTCTATTGCTATTTCCAAAGAGAGTATTCAGATGAAACAGACGCGTTAGTTCCACTAATTCAAACATTCACGGCTAAGACGCGCCGGGCTATGCACATTGTAGCGAATCACCCTCATTCCCTTCATATTCCCATGATAAGATGTAATTTTCCCTCAAGCAGGTTCTTGCCACAAAACCACTGCTTTGTGCAACCGGCTCTCAAGAGGATGCTTCAACAACCAATACAATCTTAACATGTTCATGTCTAGAGTCAACCGTTATCTACCACTCATATCCCCAAAAGCAATACTTCTTACAGTAACCCTCTACGTCGAATGTCCCTCGTGCCTTGTACAGGGTGCCCATCATTGTAAAAAATCACCTCCTCAAATATGTATGACGGGGTGCTAAAAAGTTCTCCGTCCGATTCACTCCACTGTATTTAAATAACAAAACACCAGGAAACTGATTTTGGTAAGTGAATGAATTTGAAAACTTTTCAGCACCCACTCTATATATATATATAAGTCTTGAGTATATGCTTATAAAAGATTCATATATATGGTGACAACACATGCATATAAACAATATATGCATGCATATATATGCAATTATCTCCCCATCTATTTAACACAAAGTTTTTCTTTCTTCGCTGTCTCTAACCCATATATATATATATATATATATATATATATATATATATATATATATATATAGTTTTATATATATATATTTAGTTGTTTTCTCAATATATATATTTATATTATATATATATATATATATATATATATATATATATATATATATATATATATATATATATAGTTTTCTTATTTTTCTCAGCTGAAATACTTTCTGAATTTTAAAATCCTTTTTCTTTGGAAGCGAATCTAAAGCCGCTTCTGTGCACAAAATGCAAATTACAACACAATAGAAAGCGATGACGTTCATATCCCATAATCCTCTTTTTTTTTTTTTTTTGTTTTTTTTTTTCCTCGCTTTATTCCCGGATGACAGGCGCCCAAACGCTTACGAACGGATGACGTGTTAAATGGCGTGGATATGAAGCCGTCAAACCTATCTGTTTATGCAAAGCTTGCCCAAATATGCAGCTTACTGGTTTGCGTATCGGCATCCGCACACTATTATGCACATTCACACGAATAGAGCCAAAAAGTCGTTCGTTTTGGTTATGAACTGATTATTGAGTTGAGACAAAACTTAGTCAGTGTTGGTATATTCTATTTTGGAACTAACTTTTCAGTCGATACACTTTCTCAATGACACAAGATTCATATTCATTTCCGTTTTGAATAAATCCTGTCTGGTATTACATACCAAGTCAGCGTTTCTTTCTATATATATTAATTGTTCTTAAATTCATATTTCAAGGGGAGGCACTGACACAAGTCGTTCAAATGAGCTCCTATTTTCTGAAAGTGTAATTCAGTTCATTATCAAGTGACAGTTTTGTTTAGAAAATCTCCATCAGCCAGATTGATATATATTTATTACTTAAGAACCAGATATTTTCCGCATTTTTCTCCTTTTTATAGCAGGGATCGGCAACCACAGGCCATATCCGGCCCGCGAAGAATTTTTGTCCGGTCCGCCAATTTAACACCTGGATACTAATTATCTAATTAATTTGCGGAGCAAGTGACAGAAAAATATCAGTTGGATTTAATCGACTTTCAATGCGACGAATTTTTTAAATGAAAATTTCCTTCCGAATCTACTGATGACTTGTATAAGAAAAATATTTTGCCAAGCGGAAAATATAAAAGCCTATTAAATTGTGCAAAAATGATGGTATCATTATTTGAAAGTACATATGCTTGTGAACAATTTTGTTTTCAAAAATGAAATCTACTAAAAGTCATTTATAAACAATTTTGGTTGATGACCACCTGGATGATGTTTTGCTCCTGCCATTGACAAATATTTCACTTGATGTGGAGAAGTTATCAAACAATAGTCAGAAACAAATGTCTCATTAAATAATTTGCCATTTCTAACTTAAATAATTTGCATTTTTTTGTCGATTGTGTTAGCTGTTATCCTGTTATTCCTGCAGTAAAATAAGGAATCTTATTTAAATAATATAAAATTAACTTTATGGCTTTTTCTTTAAACTTCCAGACCAAGGCAGCCTTTTAAACAGAGCAGTCTGAGGTCAAGACAATTTATTATAGCACATTTGATATCATGGCTCTTCTCCAAGATATTGCATAGCTTTCTGGCCCGCTCTTTCCAAAAGAGTTGCCGACCCCTGCCATATGGCATTAGTGACTATTCTCAAAGTATGAGATTTCAAATTTCATCCAAAATTGATATTATGTCAAAAATTCCTGAAATTTACTTTATTTGCTGAAGAGTGATAAAAACCATTGATCTCTAGTATTGTGCATTTTTTTTTTAGAGATCATGCTCAACTGGCATTTAATTTAGGCATGTATAACCAAGCATCTTCAAAAATTGATTGATTCATTCGTTTTTTATGGGTTTTTTTTCAATCGATTTCAGGTTATTTAAAGCCAGAAAATATTTTTAGATTGTATGAATTGGGGGGGGGATTATAATGAATTAGTGATACAAGTCTTACTAATTAACCCATAGCTAGGGGGAGAAGATGTGGATTCATACCTAATCAGAATTTGATAAATAAACAAGAAATTATGTGATTATAAATTGGGGGATCAATTCCATATTAAAATCAATATATAAACTGATCCCTCACTTTGTGGCCATGACAGTTTCTATACATCCATATTCCAGAGACTGTAAATAAATCTAAAAGACATGTCTGTGTAGCTAATCAGTATTTGATTGATTCATTCATTCATTTTCTATGGCTTATCAACCCTTTGCAGGTTATTTAAAGCTGAAATATATTTTTACATTGTAAGAATGGGAGGTAGATGATAATGAATTAGCGATAAAAGTCTTACTAATTAACCCGTAGCTAGGGGGAGAAGAGGTGAATTCATACCTAATAAGAATTTGATAGAAAAACAAACATTATAATGTGGCTCTAAATTATGGTTAACTGGTATGGCCCTCCTTCAATATACTGCATAGCTTTTTGGCCTGCTCTCTCTAAAAAGATTGCCAATACCTGATTTATGGCTTAATGGCTCACAGATGCGTTTGTCCACGTGGCCCCTTGATTTATTAGGTACCTGTATACGCGATACTTCACAGATGGCGTTAGAGTGCTTGATCGATTGCGCCATCATTTAGTGAAATAGCGACAAGAGTACCTGTCTATGACTATAGTCTAGCAGGATCGTTCCTCAGTCGGTGACCGATGTGAGTGGTTTTGTACCATAACAAAACTAAGCTTAGTAAATAAATACAGTCGTTCATAAACATCAACAGTTAGTCCTCGTTTTACCGCCCCAAAATGCAGCTTGGGCCACAACCCGGCTTTGGAATAATTGCTCAGTTGTTACTGAAATTTGAAGTGAACATATACACGCAATTGTTTTAGAGAATTTAACTGCACAGACGTTTAAATTATTACTGTTGGCAATCAGGGTATAAAGTAAAGTTAAAACAATGCAATTATTCTAAAACAAATGGAAAATAATAATGACAGTTTACCAGGAAAATATCATCGATTTTCTTCTGACAAAAAACGATATAAAAATGCTACAGTTATGTAGATGTTTTGCGTAATACACGTAACAGCTACTTGATGGAGGATAGTCATTGTTATTAACATTTGACTCGTTTTTTTTATTATTATTTTAGTTTCTTTCTATCGTAACACTCAGCTTGTTATAATACGTAGTAGACATAATAGTCTTAAGTTGTGTGAATTTCTTAGATGAAGCATTGTCATTATTATTAATTTTTGACTCGTTTTTCTTTTCATCTTATTTTAGTTGCTTTCTATCGTAACACTCAGCTTGTTATAATACGTAGTAGACGTAATAGTCTTAAGTTGTCTGAATTTCTTAGATGAGGCATTGTCATTAATATTAATTTTGACACGTTTTTCTTTTCATCTTATTTTAGTTGCTTTCTATCGTAACACTCAGCTTGTTATAATACGTAGTCGACATAATAGTCTTAAGTTGTGTGAATTTCTTAGATGAAGCATTGTCATTATTTTTAATTTTGACTCGTTTTTCTTTTCATCTTATTTTAGTTACTTTCTATCGTTTTATCTTTTGTCTAATTTTTGTTACTATTTATTACAATATTAGTTTCGTTTTTTTCTTTCTACTTCATCCATTATTCCATTCCAATCTATACTTCTTCTGCTATGACTGTCTTCCAACTGAGAAATGTTTCATTGCGCTGTAACGATCAGCTTAGAAACTTCTATCCAAGATACGCACTCCCACAGACAATACACACAACTCTATACATGCCTACATCTCAGTTAAGTAGAAAATCCATCACATTAAGCATGACTTCATTGTGAAATTGCTTTTTATTCATTTTTACAATCAAATCCCCTGACGAGTGGATGTCACCTCAGTAAACTCAGTACTGACAAGATAAGTGAACAATTAATTTTATTCCTATTAATACTCTATCAATTGATATCGAACGCTGTAATTAGAAAGATGGTTGCCTTAAAAATAAAAGATGTACTCTCGTTGACCTTTCATTTTTCTTTCTTTTTTATTCATTTATTTTTACCTTTTTTTTGTTCTGGGACGAAGCACATTATTTGTTCATAGATATTTTCATTATTAATTTCACTTATTGATACTTTTGTCTGTAAGGCTACCAAATTTGTGGCAGAGAATGGTTCTCTTTTTCATATTGTTTATTCTTAACCTCTTATTAAATGTATTCGTGAATTTCTCTATTGATATTCATGTACATTTTTCATTGATCAATTCTCATTTTGTCGCTCGGAAACGTATAAGTTCTTAATGGTGGGTTTTGGGCGAAGATATTTTCAAAAGATGATTTTCTTAAGATTCTAAACATAAGAAGATAAATGAGAATGTGTGAATTGAGAAGAAAGGAGAAAAAGTAGGAGGAAGAAAAGAACGAGGGCTGTAAAGATTGTGAGAAGATATAAAGGGAGGGATGACAGTGAGGGAACAGAGAGTAAAGAGAGAAAACAAAAAGCGAGGATAAGGAAGAGAAAAAGAAGAGAGGAGAGAAAGAGCGAGAAGAAAGGTGAAAATAGTGGAAAGATGGAACGTGACGTGTTAGAAAAGAAAAAATAGTGAAGAGGAAAAAGTGAGGAGAGACAAGAGGAAAAAGAGATGATAAAAGGGAAAAAGAAGGGAGAAAAAGGTGAGAAAAGAGAAAAGGAGGGAAGAGAAATATGATAGAAAAGAGGGGGGAAAGAAAATGAGGTGAGAAAAGAGAAAAGGGAGGGAGGAGAGAAAGTTATGATAGAAAAGAGAGGGGGAAAAGAAAATGAGGTGAGAAAAGTGAAAAGGGAGGGAGTAGAGAAAGTGATGTGAGAAAAGAGAGGGGGAAAGGAAATGAGGTGAGGGAAGTGAAAAAGGAGGGAGGAGAGAAAGTGGTGTGAGAAAAGAGAGGGGGAAAGGAAATGAGGTGAGAGAAGTGAAAAAGGAGGGAAGAGAGAAAGTGGTGTGAGAAAAGAGAGGGGGAAAGGAAATGAGGTGAGAGAAGTGAAAAGGGAGGGAGGAGAGATAGTGATGTGAGAGAAAATAAAATAGAAGAAGGAGAGGAAACGAGGTGATAGAAGAGAAAATAGAGTGGAGAAAATGGAGTGAAACTAGAGTCAAGTGGCGGGAGAAAGTGAGGTGAGCGAAGAGGAAAGACTTGTAGGAGAGAGGAGGGAAGAAAGAAAGAAAGAAAATGACGTGAAAGAGGAGAAATGAGAGGGTGGAGGTTAATCGGAGAAAATGTAAAGAGAATGACTCCTTCATTACGCCTATAGTCTTTCTTCCTTATGGAAAAAAGAGAGAGAAAAAGGTTACAAACGTAAAGAAGGTGAAAAGAAAGAAAGAATAAAGAATATGGAAGAGATGAATAAGAAGGAAAAGAAGAAAAACACTGATGAAAAAGATACGAACAGAAAGAAAGAAACAAAAATATATGATAGAAAAAATGAAAAATTTACTAAAAGAATGAAAAAATACGAACTAGAAGAATGAAACGAATAGGATGAATGAAAGTTACCAAAAGAATGGAAATAAAAATTGCAATAATGTTGAAAAAAAAAGAAGTATGGAGAAAAGATAAGAGCAAAAGAAAGAAAGGAAAAAAGAAACAGGAAGGGATGAATAAAAGAAGACATGTAGGAAATATAAGAGCAAAAGAAAGAAAGAAAGAAAGAAACGAACAGAAAGGAAAAAAAAGAAAGAAACGAATAGAAAGATGTATAAAAGAAAAGAAGAAAGAAAGAAATATACAAAACAAAATGAAAATACAGGAAGTATAGATGAAAACTATCAAAAAGGAAAAGGCTCACGAAAAGAAACAAAAATAAAGACATTCACAAGAATCCAATGATTAGAACAAAAAAAAATCAATAAAATTTAAAATGAATGTCTGGTATTAGAGGTGAATTTTATTAAACCCTGTGCAAAATTAAATGTTGAAACCATGAAAAAAAGAAAGCCTCGTTTTGATTATACAACGGAGTCAAGGAAATTACAATCCGCACTTGTGACAAAACAGAAGCAAATTCGTTTAACAATCTACTTTTAAGTTAATCATTCGTCTTTCATCCGCCATTTTGTTTTCTTTTTTTTCTCTCATTTTTTATTTAAATATCGTTCTTTGTTTGTTTTCCATTTAATTTTCTTCCAATTTCGTTTTTAATTCTTTTCTTTGATTTTTTGCCTCGTTCTTTTCCTCTTTTCTGTTTTTTTTTCCTTCTTCAGTTTGTCAACACTCAAAATTCTTTTATTAACAGTTTATTTCTTGTTTGATTAATTCTTGTTTGTCCACCATTTTATTCTCATTTCCCGCTAGATGTGTGGTCATCATTGAGAAACAAGTGACAACAAATTTTCTCAAATTTTCATCGTTCTCCTTTCCAATTTCAAAACTCGGCAGGATTTTGAATAATTTGGATTCTTTGACGATAATTTCTCCCGATACAGTTCGCTATGATAAGTTTTTAGCCACCCTTAATTTTGACTTATGTAATAACGTATCTTCTTTTTCTTTTTTCAGACAATACCGTGTTATTATCAAGCTACTCTAAACTTCGAGAACGTGCAAACAAAATCACGTCAGTGGCAACCCTTAAAGAAACATTGCTAAAGGAGTGGCAAAATATGGATCAGACGATTGTTGATAACTTGATCAAATCCATGAAAAATCAAATACAATCACTGAAACTAGCAAATGGAGAACCTACTCTATACTAGTTCCAAATACTGTTTGTTTATGTTGAATAGGCATTACATAATTAAATTTTAAAATTGGATATAGTTTATTTCTCCTCGTTAAAAACTTTTCTTAAGCCACCGTATTTACCCTCATTCCATTTGTGTTCCATTGGTAAGGAGATAGTTCCAATCAGAACTGTTACATTGTGGTAAAGACTTCCCAGAGGATGCTTCCCCGATCACTAGAATCTTAACCTCTTTGAGTCTATGATCAACGGTTATATATCCTACATATCCTCATAATATGCCCATCTTACTTCCTCAATCTTATTTATTAATACTCTACCATGCATGGCTCTTGGGCCTCGTATTAAGTGAATAATAGTATATGTAAGACAAAAGAAAAAAAATTATTCAACAACGTAGTTCCCCCTCTGCTGGACTTTATCATGGCAAATATATTTGCTTTGATAAAGTCGACCAGAAGACAAAACGCAAGCTATCAGAACATTACAAAAGCAGTTTAGATGTAGCAGAAAAACTTACTGTATATAAAAAGCAAGCTAGTAGTGCAGCTGAACATAAAACAAAGACCCACAATATTGAAATTATCCTGCATTCTACTTTGGATGGAAATATTTTATATTTCCCATGATTTTTACCATTAGCAGTATTCACTTTTAATTACGTCTCTTACTTCAGTTCTTATTCCAGTCGAATCCATTACATTCACTTACGTGCTAATACCATTGGGAAAGGTATGAATCATATTCTCCCCCGCCCCGCCACCAGATATGGGTAAATAGCAGAACAGACCGGGTTCTATAGCCTTGGATAGCAGTTGGTCTACCGCAGAAAGAAATGGCAACCTACTGCGGAAAATATCTGCCTCGTCAGTCATGTATTGAAAGATACATGATCGTCTAAGCGTGTATCACGCATGGCATATAACTGACTAAGAGAGTAGTGGATAAACAGCTCGGATTAAGAAATCGGAGATCCGAGTTCGAATTCCAGTCGAATCCATTATATTCTCTTACGTGCTAATCCCCTTGGGAAATGTATGAATACCCTTCTTCTAAACCTATAGGTAAATCGCAGGAGAGATCTGGTTCTATAGCTTTGGATGACAACTGGTCTACCGCAGAAAGAAATGACAACCTACTGCGGGAAAAAGCATGTCTTTTCAGTCATGCATCGAAAGATACATGATCGCCTAAGCGTGTATCACGCATGGCATATAAGTGACTAAAGGAGGCATGGTGGGAGTAGTGGAGAGCCACTCGGATTGAAGAATCGGAGAGCCGAGTTCGAATTACAGTCGAATCCATTACATTCACGTACGGGCTAATACCTTTGGTATCACGTATGGCACATAACTGACTTCAGTAGTTCACAGCTGGTTAACCATTACAATGATCTGGGGCATATCTAGAATCGGCTAGTACTGATGAACCTCGACGATATTTTGTTTCGATAATAATTTGTACATTACCTTTAATAAAAATAACATTTTGCAATATCTGCACTGGAAAATCTGCAACTTTTACGGGAAGGAAACTGCAAGAAACTGGTATGAACATCACCCAGTACCCGGTTACAGAGATAGGACCTATAACAATTTTATGGAACTTTAAACGACACACAAACTGAACAATCAAATCTAACCACGAGTCATCGAGATCAAAGACCACAAGAACATAATGAGCTTCCTTATTAACATGGCAACACCTGCAGGTTGTAAAGTATTTTTGAAGATCTTCAAAAAATTATCAAAATACAAAGATGTTAAAGTGGAAATCTAAAAAATATGGCACATGAGGACATCAATGATTCCAGTTGTAACTGGAATGTTCGGTTCGACTAGAAAAGGTTCCGATAGAAAGAGATCCCTCGTAGCCGGTAGCCGGTAAATTACTCGAAATCAATTGCTCAAAAGTAAATTGCTCGAAATCAATTGATCGAAAAATAATTTCTCAAACTATCAATTGCTTGAAAGGCAGTTTGCTCCAAACCTGTGGCTAAAAAAAAATAAAACTACATTGTTTCTAATATTTACTATAAGATAAAATCATACAACTTTATTGTTGTTAACTGAAAAAGTTAAAAGTGAAGAACGATTACATTTATAGAGCAGACGTGGTCCATTTATATATATAGAGAGAGAAAACAGAGAGAGAGAGAGAGAGATTGATAATATTAATGGTCCATATATATATATATATATATATATATATATATATATATATATATATATATATATATATATAGAGAGAGAGAGAGAGACGTTGACGTGTCGTGAGACGGCGCAGTTTATGTGGTGCTTCGAGCTTCGTAAAATTACTTCGAGCAATCTGCCTTTCGAGCAACTGATAGTTCGAGAAATTACTTTTTGAGCAATTAATTTCGAGTAATTTACTGTCGAGCAATTGATTCCGAGCAACTTACCTAGATCCCTCGTAGCCCAAGCATTAAGGAAATACAAAAAATTGAATTCAAAAGTGCAGCTCACAGATTACGAAGAGTTTTATCTATGTAAAATTTGTGTGATTTGATACAAAACTGATCGGTGGAAGATGTGAGGAAATCATTTCTGACCTTAGGTCTCTTGTTGAGACCCGGAGGGAGATGAGTATACAACAGAAATCAAAGGAAATAATAATAATAATAATAATAATAATAATAATAATAATAATAATAATAATAATAATAATGCAATTCTATGGGACTACCCAATACACACTGACAGAACGATCAAAGCCAACCCCCCAGACATTGTTATTAAAGACCACAAACAAAAAAAGTGCCTCCTTATTGATATTGAAGTCCCTGCAGTCCCTTTTAGAAAGCACATATACTAAAAATATTGTGTTAGCCCAAAATGCAGATTCTGTGATAAATATCCAGAAACAATTGATCATCTTGTATCACGTTGCACGGCATTGGCATCCACTGAATATAAAACCCGGCATGACAGAGTGGGCCAATATCTGCACTGGAAAATTTGCAACTTCTACGGGAAGGAAACTGAAAGAAACTGGTATGAACACCACCCAGACCCGGTTACGGAGATAGGACCTGTTACAATTCTATGGGACTACCCAATACACACTGACAGAACGATCAAAGCCAACCCCCCAGACATTGTTATTAAAGACCACAAACAAAAAAGTGCGAACCTGTATTTTAAAAAAAATGAAATAAATAAATAAAATTAAAAAATTAAAAATAAAATAAAAATGAAAATTAAAATAAAACATTTTAAACATTTTTTTAAAATTATCAAAAAAAACGTTACCTGTGTTTAGTACGAACACCTATTTTTTGCGTTAAAAATTATCTTAAAATCTCGCGTTATACTCGTGTATATACAATAAAAAAATTATCATTAAAAAAGTAAAACATAAAATAAATAAATTATCAAAAAAATACCTGTGTATAATGCGAAAAAAAATATCTTAAAAACTCGCGTTATACTCGTGTATATACAATAAAAGAAATATTTTGCGTTATGCATGTGACAAAGGTAATATTAATATTAGCCATTTCCATATAAGGAAACATTCGACATTCGTTGACTGAGCAGCCAGCAATACTTTCGATTAAAATTTGTATCATCTTTTTATTAAAAGAAAATTCCAAAGAAATTAGGTTTCTCAAGTCCAGTAAGATTTATTGCTCTGAAAAGTTTGCTTGCTTTCTAACCTTTTTTTTTTAAGTAGTGTAGAATATCAACATCTTGATTATGACATTATTTTCTCTTCTCAAGCCCAGTAGCTGTTATCGCTCTTTCAGGTATTGATCGAGGTTTCGTTCCTAACATATTATTTGAAGTAGTGTGTAATGTCATCATCTTGATTATGTCATTATTTTCTCTTCTCAAGTCCAGTAGTTGTCATCACTCTTTCCAGTATTGATGGAGGTTTCCTTCCTAACCTTTTGTTCGAAGTAGTGTGGAATGTCAACATCTTATGTCATTATTTTCTCTTCAAGTTACATGTGCTACCTATTTTAGTTGCTGTTGTTGTTGAAAGTCTTCAAGTAATGTAGGTTCTGTTATTTGGTAAAGTTCTTTGTGAATCTGTACCGCCAGTTCACGGGGTTTGAAGAATATCGGACTTTCTAAGACCTACAGGATTCATTCGCTGGGAGCTATTTTTTTATCACTGATCTGTGAAAGCTGTTGTGTTCAACTGACATTTTAGATATTTCTAAATGGATTTGGTGTTATGTATGGCATCCATATTGAACGCTTCAATTTGACGATGCTAAAAAACTCGAGGTTTTAGGTTAATGTTTTGGTTGGAGTAGATTGGTTTGCCTATCGCCATGTTCACATTTTACCCCGATCTTTTGAACAGGAGTAGCAATTTATCCTTTGTTTTCAGTTTAAGATTGGGTTTCTAGTTCCTTCAAAACTCTTTGCCTTCTCTCCCACTTCCGGTGGCTCATTGCGTTTTGGTGGCATCATATCCTTGCTTAGGGTGGTGCCTCTTACTCTGTAATCATCTACGAGTAGCTCTTAGGCCCTCTAGAGGGTGAATATCATTGTAAAAAAAAAAACTTAGAATGTTGTGGGGAAACTATCTCTAGTGTTTTTAGACGTTTTTTTGTGGGGGGAGGTATTATTAATTGAAAGTTTAATCACACTTAATTGAAACACAGAAAAAAAGACCGTTGGCTAATCGTTAACTTCTATGTCTTCACTTCTCGGATTTTCACGCTGTTTCAGTTCCATGATCTGCAGGAATGGTAACCTCCGTTAACAGGTTTCTCTTTGTTTATGATTATTAGATATGATTCCTTGGGCTGGATGGAGTAATTTTGTTTAACTGGAAATTCAGGAAATCTCAGTGTTTTCCATTTTTATCCTTTTTGTTCTGCTCCTTCCCAGTTTAACCCTTTCATCTTTTGTCATTCACTTTTTTCCTTGACCTTCTTCGTTTTTCCTTTTTGCCCTCCCCTCTACAGTTTCTTCTTTTTCTTTATCTTTCTCTTCTTTCCTCCTTTTTTTCTTTCTCTCTTCGTCTTTTACTTTCTCGCCTATTTCTCCGCTATACTTTTCATTATTTCTAGTTTCTTTTTTCTTTTTTATTTATTTTCCTCTCTGTATTTCTTTTCTTTTCTTTTTTTAACCAATTCCCCCTGCCACGCGCTAATGAAATCCGATCTTTGTCACAATCGATCAAAACTTTGTTCAATATTTACCCGGTAAAAAGATTAGAACGAAGACATGACCTTTTTTTAATGTCTTCCCGATTGAGGCGAACAATACAAGGGAGATAATCACGATTGACGACGAAGAAAACGCAACAACGAGCGATCGTACGATAAAATCTACAGCCATTCAAGAATGCTTTATTGCCATTAATATTCTCAAGTAGTCACGTCGACTTTTTTTTTTTACTTTGTTTCTCTTTGATATTTGCCCTTGGGAACTCTTCAAATATAAGAGAAAGAGTTCTGAATTATTTTCTAATTCTATTTTCGTCAAGTTTAAAATATTTTGGAATTTTTAGCTGAAAAGGTTTTATCAAATTCAAATTTATTTAATAACTCTGCCTATGCTCCGATATCATTTTGTCTTTGTCTTTCCTTCTCTTTCGTTCTCACTCTTTCTTTCTCTCCCTCTTTCTCTCTGTTTCTCTCTCTCGTTTGATCTCATTTCCTCTCCCCCCCCTCTCTCTCTCTCTCTCTCTCTCTCTCTCTCTCTCTCTCTTTTGATCTCTTTCTCTTCCAAATTTTCTTTTTGTAACAGTGTTTCTTTCAATATATTTCTTTCTATTTCTCTTCCTGTCCTAAAATGGTTTTTCCGCTCCTGCGTTTCTCTCTCTCACACACACACACACACACACAGTGGCACACACACACACACACACACACACACACACACAGTGGCACACACACACACACGCACACACATACACACACACACTATTTCACTCTATATTTCATTATCTCTCTATCTTATTTCTATACATTTCTACCGTCGTTTCAATCTTTTTCTATTTCTCCCATTCCTGATCCCGCTTCTTTTCCCATCTATCTATCTATCTATCTATCTATCTATCTATCTATCTATTCATTATCTATCTATCTCAGTCCGTTCATTATCTATCTATCTATCTATCTATCTATCTATCTATCTATCTATCTATCTATCTATCTATCTATCTATCTCAGTCTGTTCATTATCTATCTATCTAGATATACATCCATACATCCATACATACATATATATATATATATTATACATACATACATATATATATATATATATATATATATATATATATATATATATATATATATATATATATATATATTGTATGTAGTGCGACTATTTCTCTTTCAAGCTTTCTTACTTTACCAAAACCGTACACGTTCACATTTCCTCCTCCTCTTTCTCCATGGAGATACTGATTTAGACCCATATTTTATTTCTATCTATCTATCTATCTATCTATCTATCTGTCTGTCTGTCTATCTATCTGTTCATATATATACCTATCTATCTATGTATCTATCTATCTATCTATCTATCTATCGCAATCTGTATATATCAATCTATCTCAGTCTGTTCATATCTAACTATTTTCCCATCTGTCTGTCTGTAACTCAACCTATTCATATCTTCTCAATTTCTTTGACTTTATCACCCCTCTGTTTTTCTCTCTCATTTTCTATTTCTCGTTAGTTTTCTCCTATCTCCATCTATTTTTTTTTTTTTAAGTATTTCACCCCAAGCAAGGCGGGGGTGCCACTAGCACGCATGGGGTTGCAGAGAGTCGAAGCAAGAGTAAAGATCCTTGATAGAGGAAAGAATGAAGAGAAGGACGGGGAATAAATCAAAGCATCTGGAGATGTCGATTGACATTGCATTTGAATATTTGGAGATTATAGCTATCAGGGAAGCAAGTGAGAAGAAGAAAGTTCCACACACGGGAAGTGCGAGACATGAAGCTATTGAAGTAGAAGAGACGGCTACATTTAACTGTTTTTGGCAGTGAAAGGGTTGGACTGAGATGCCAACCAAGTAGCACGCTTAAATTCATGCAGTTTGGGAACCAGCAAAAGTAGCTCGTCGGAGCAGTTAGCGTGAAAGTATTTGTAGAAAAGATAGAGGGAAGCGACGACAAGTCTGTGAGAAAGTGACTGTAGACGAGATGCCAGATCAGGACCAATTGCATTGCATATCCGTCTCTGGATTTTGTCGAGGACCTTGAGACGAACAACGGGGGCACCAGACCATATATGGCAGCAGTATTGCATGCAAGGGCGAATGGTTGATTTAAAGGATGGAATCAGGCGAGAAAAACCTTCTGGTGCGACAAAGAGAACCAACTTTCCTTGCGGTAGATGAAGCTATTGATTCAATGTATTTGTTCCATCTCAAGTCAGTGGAAAGTGTGAGACCAAGCAGTCACAGGGGGGTGTTCTCATGGAGCTGAGCGTCAGACATTCTAATGGGAGGCAGGGAGGGTTCTCTATGGTGGGTAAAAGAGAGCAGTTTTGTTTTTGAGACATTAAATTTTATCAGCCATTTCCTGCCCCAGTCAACCACAGATTGGGGATCCTTTATGAGACCGACGGCCAGGATGGTTTTGTATCTATCTATCTATGGATCGATCTCTAGGTGTCTATTTCTCACACGCGCTTTTTTTATCTACCTGCCTCTCATCTCTCTATCTCTCTATCTATCTGTAATTTTCTCTCTTCTTCTATTTCTGTTTTTCCATTTTCTCCCCCCTCTATCTTACTGCTTCTGTTGCATGCTCTTTCACTTTCTCTATTCCTCTCACTCACTCTTCCTATTTATCTTTTTTAATCATTCTCTCTTTCTATCCAACACTTTTGTCTCTCGCTCTCTCCTTTCCCATTCATCTTTTTATCTCTCAATTTCTCTCTCCCTTAGTTTCTCTCTCCTGTTCTTTTCCCCCCTCTCTCTCTCTTTCTCTCTCTCTTTCACTCACTCAACCTCTTCCTATTTATCCCTCACTCACTCTCTTATTTTTCTCTATTTCTCTTACTGTCTCTCAATCTCTCTCTCTATATATATATCTTTTTCATCCTTAAATTTCTCTCCCTTTCCTGCTTTCTTACACTTTTTATCACTCATCTCTCTTTCATTTTCTCCTACCCTCTTAATCTCTCTCTCTTCCTATTTTTCTTTTTTCGTCTTTCTCTTTCTTTCGCTTTACTATACTCTTTACTTTATCTCTCTCCCTCCAGCTCTTTTATACTCTCTCTTTTTCTCTCTTTCACCCCGACTCTGTTACCCTCTATTCTCTCGATAATTAGTGATAGTGATTTTCCAAGCGTAGCTTAGATGTGGCACAAGGCCGAAAGTATGGGGCACCTAGTGAGGATCGAACTCACTACTCAGTTGTAATTGTTCTAGCGAGACAAGCTTGCTAACCATTACACTGCCTCGAGGTGCCCTCTCGATAATTAGTGATATATACGTACATGTGTTTCTGTGGATACATTTAAAAATTTTATTGATACTTGCCTTTTAAAAATAATGTATTTTTGCAAACAAGGGATGAATTTCAAATTTGAAAAATACTACGCAAGAATGATGCATATCAGTTCAAATAATAAATTTAGGGAAACGTTTGTGGAACTATTCTTGGAACTTTCATAAAATGTTTTTCCCATGACTTGAACATGCGCACCAGATTTAACAACACAAACACACACTATGTCTCCCTTGTTCCCCAGTTGTGGAAAACTGTATGTCACAAGCAAAAATTTTAAATACAGCAGAGGCGGGGAAGAAGTTGTTTAATGGAATAATAATCCCTGTCGGCTCTAAGGTATTTTCCATTTCTCTGACATGAAGGGAGATAAGTGTATTGTACGTTAGCGCAAAGCTTCTAGAAATTTGTTTAGTAATTAAAATATATTCAGTTTGAAAAAAGAAAGGTGTTGTCCATAAAATAGTGGACGGTTTACCCATTCAATTTACTCGAAATCGGCTGTGAATTTCATCATCTTTAAAATGGCCCTAAAGAATTGACTTCATCAGGGCAACATACCTAGTGTCCCAGAGCTGAATTCATAGCTCTCCTTCTTCTATATTGAATGCCAATCACAGCTAGAGGAGCCAGTCTGCCCTCCTATTTAACATAGCTGTACAGCAAATAATGAACAATAAAGACCAACATAAAACATTCAATAATAATTCTTCACTTGCATTATTTATATTATTCGGACTGTTATCCTCATCTTCACAGCCATATTCACAACGTTTCGGTCGTTGTACGCTCAGGCCTTCTTCAGGTGATTGGAATTTCAAACCGAACCCTTTATTTCGTCCACCGGGATAGATTGCTCTAGTTCTACTTGCCATGACTCTTCCGGGTGTCTCAGTTATTTCCCTTTGACATAACTCTCTAAGATTTAGTTCGCCACTGCTGTGGCCTGGTATTGAACTCGCAATTCTTTGGGTCTAATTGCTGGCATGGAAGAGGCATGACACGTGGAACTAGAACAATCTACCCCAGTGGACGAAATAAAATGTTCGGTTCAAAATTCCAAACATCTGAAGAAGGCCGGAGCGTACAACGGCGGAAATGTTGTGAATATGGCACTGAAGCAGAGGATAACAGCCCGAATAATGTAAATAATCATAATACCTCATCTCAGAGATATAGACAAACAATTCTTCAATCACTCTCACTATCTATCTATCTATCTATCTATCACACCCTTTTATCTATCACGCCCTGTTCATATCTATCTATCTATCTATCTATCTATCTATCACACCCAATTCATATCTATCACGCCCTGTTCATATCTATCTATCTATCACACCCTATTCATATCTATCACGCCCTGTTCATATCTATCTATCTATCACACCCTATTCATATCTATCACGCCCTGTTCATATCTATCTATCTTTCTATCTATCTATCTATTTCCGTATCTAAGAAATCATCGGGGATGAATTACCTGTTGTAAAAATAAAGATCCCACATCAATCTAAACTGTTCGTTTTGTTTGTTTGCTTGTTTTGTTTTTTGTTTTTTGTTGTTGTTTTTTGTTTTTCCAATGTAATTAAAAGAAAATCAATGGCACACAACAATATGACGTAGAGTAGACGCCATGAAAACTTTAAAAAATAGTTGACTTCAGGTCAAGAGATGCGCTACAAACAGGACTTTTGAATTCAACGTTGACCTGTTTTTCATAACTCTAGGGAATTTAGCATGGGGAAACAAGGAAAGTCAACAGTGGGTCAAGTTGTGAAAGGATCACTCTTGTCCAACACCACAAGATGTGCTACAAAATCAAAATATTAACTTAAGAAGTTGTGTCATGTCCTTAAAAGCCTTGTCAGATCTAGAATCTCATATGGATGTCACGCATGGCCCACATCTCGTTTAGAAATATATAAACTATCAGCTACCAACAACCACTTTCTCGGATCAATGATTAAAATAGCTTCAAACGAATGAAGCCTGTATAAATACACCGAGATAGATAGATAGATAGATAGATAGATAGATAGATAGATAGATAGATAGATAGATAGATAGATAGATAGATATGAACATATCTACGTACTGATGTAAGCGTAATATGGTGATAGATAGATAGATAGATAGATAGATAGATAGATAGATAGATAGATAGATAGATAGATAGATATGGACATATCTACGTATTGATGTTAAGGTAATATGGTCATAGATAGATAGATAGATAGATAGATAGATAGATAGATAGATAGAGAGATAGATATCTACGTATTGATGTAATGGTAATATCAGTCGTTTCCGTAAAAGGAAATATTCGGGATTCATTGTAGCCAATATTAAAATCATTCTGATTTTAGCATATAGATAGATATGGACATAATGAGATAGATAGATAGATAGATAGATAGATAGATAGATAGATAGATAGATAGATAGATAGATAGATAGATAGATAGATAGATTTGAACACACTGATAAAGGAAAGAGATAATGAGAGCTTGTGTCTGTGCGTGTGTGTAAGTGAATTGGTTATGTCTAAAGAATAAGTTATGGAAGCGGAAAATCAGGAAGCAAATAGAAAAGAGATGAAAATAAAATGCTTTGCCCGAAGAAACGGACTTTATTGCACGGGATGGACTTTGTGGTCGGAGATTGACCGCAGATAGACAGTCCGTTTCAGATTTGGCAGTAACCCAATCGCTGACCACTGCCAGCGGTCATGAAGCGGCCTTTTCCACAGCTGACCGCTCGTTGTTATTGTGTCTTATTAGTGGCCAGCGGACCGTGGCCAAGATTGGACAAACAGCCAACCTACTCTATAAATGACCATCCTCTCTTCATGGAGAAACCCAACATCGATATGGTCAGTTGTTCAGCAGCAGCTACGCGAAAAATACACTCATTTTGTGACAAGCTTAGTCAAAAGGAAATTGGCAATTTTAGTCTCCAATGGCCATTCTTGTACGGTCCACGGATATTGCAATAGTTGACCTGAAAGAAAATATCTTCTGTGTAAATAATTTGTGGTTCTTTTCATTGTGATAATCAAAAGAAAGCGGCATCTCTCGATCTTAAGATGTTCTTATTGATACCAGAAGAAATATTAACTAATACAAAAGGTTCCACCATTTTTTAAGAAAATCTTTTTTTCTGTCTGATTTTCTAGGATGAAGACTTCTTATTTACACTATTAACATTCGAATTAATAATTTTTATCTTTTGTTATTATCATAACGTTTTCAGCGATTGTGTCCTCTGGGAATTAATTAAAGAGGTCAGTTCAAAATTCCTCAGGTGTTATCAAATACAAGAGGTACATGGAGATTGTATAACAGCTGAAATGTTGTGAATATAAGAAACAAGATGTGTGCCACCTCTTTAAGGTCGGGCTTGGTCAGTACCTAGATGTATGACCATTTGGGAATACCAGGTGCTATAAACCGAAACGTACAGGTGGTGTAATTGATAATGGCTCAGAATTGTTAATCAGAGAGCAGAGTTCCAATTCCAGTTGGGTTCATTATATTCCCTTAGACGCAAATACTCTTGAGAAAAGGATGAATCCGCCTCTTCTCCAGCCCAGTCAATTAATAAGACTTGTATCCCTAAATCATTATCTCAAAAAGGAAATTCCTACAATCAAATAGTATATTCTGGCTTTAAATAACCAGCAAAGGGTCGATAAGCCGTAGAAAACGAACCAAACACCTGTTTGAATAAATCAAAGTACAATAATAATAATTTCGCGTCTCAGTAATTCAAATGGAAATTAAGATGCAATACTGATTTTAGGTTGAATTTGTTGCATAACATTTTATATATATTTTGACTAATGTCCTTATCTTTTGTTATTAGTGTAACGTTTCAGCAATTGTGTCCTCTTACCTTCTTCAGGTATCTGTCAATCCAGGTAACCTTTAGGGAATAGAACCCTTTACTTAATCTACAAGGGTAGATTGTTTTCATTCTGCAGTCCATGTCTAGGGATATCTCATCTTGTTCTCATTTTGTACTGTTCATTTATTTCTTACCCTGTTTTCACTAAACCAAATCTTTATTACCTGATCTAGAGATTAAACTTACAATTACTTTGCTACCAATTCATGAATAAGTCCTTTAATCCACTAGATTATTGTCCCGTGGGATAGATACCTGAAGAAGACCAAAGGGCACAATGGCTGAAATATTATGATTAAAAACAAAGATTAGGACATTATTTACATGTGGACTATTGTTTTCATCTTTGTTGTTGTTATCACAATGTTTTGACCATTGCACATTTTGGCCTTCGTCAACACTAGACGAGATATCCCTAGACATGGCCAGTGGATCAAAAACTGTTTACTCCCATAGATTAAATAAAGGGTCTTGTTCAAATTTCCCTGTAGGTTATCCAGATTGACATGCACCTGATGAAGGGCAGAGGGAACACCAGCTGAAACGTGATAGTAACAACAAAGATGCGAACAATAGTCCACATGTAAACAGTGTAAATGATAACTCCTCATCACAGAAATTCAGCCAGAAACTTAAGAATTGTTAGAAAACAAATCAGTCAAACACCTGTTTGAATAAATCAGAATACATTAATAATAATTCCTAATTCAAATGGAAATTGAGGCGCAGTGATGTTTTTAGGTTGAATTTCTTGGATGAAGAGTTCTATACATTCAGATTGTCTTAATCTTTTGTTTTAATCATAAAATTTCAGCAATTGTGCCCTCTTACTTTCTTCAAAGAGCTATCAATCCAAGTAACCTTCAGGGAGTTTCAAAAGAACCCTTTACTTAATCTTCAAGTGTAGATGATAAATAATGTAAATGATAACTTCTCGTCCCATGGGACAGATCCCCGAAGAAGACCAAAGGGCACAATGGCTGAAATGTTATGATTAAAAACAAAGATGAGGAAATTATTTACATGCAGACTATTGTCCTCATCTTTGTTGTTATTATCCATATGTTTCAGTCATTGTGCCTTTTGATGTTCTTCCAACATGTGTCGATCCGGGTAACCATAACAAAATTTTTAATCTCCGGAGGTATATTGTCTTGATTTCACTGTCTATGTCTAGGGGAGATAACTCTTCTTCTGCTTGCTTAGTACTGCTCAGTTACTACTGGTTCTGTCTCCACTGAGTCTAAGTCTGTACCCACCGGGCCAAGGATTGAACTCACCAATCAACGAAATTACCTGAAGGTTACCCAGATCGATCTGCACCTACTGAAAACCGAAGGGCACAAGACACTATCTATAATGCGAGGGGGGGCGAGCTAAAAAGGTAGCAAAAGAATTCGTTATTCACGCCGACAGGTCAATAACGTTCAGAAAATATACAATATATCAAACAGTGATGAGGAATACAGAAGCAACCGAAAATGTTGTGATTTAAGAAAGAAAAACTTGATTCTGCTTTCATATATCAACTAAATAAAATATAAATATATAAAAAGAATATCATTGTCATTACTTCATAGATAGATAGATATGAACAGGGCGTAATAGATATGAACAGGGTGTGATAGATAGATAGATAGATAGATAGATAGATAGATAGATAGATAGATAGATAGATATGAGCAAGGCGTGATAGATATGAACAGGGTGTGATAGATAGATAGATAGATAGATAGATAGATAGATAGATAGATATCGTTTTATATAACAAGAAATAATACAGATGCTACAAAGGCAAAAGTGTTTAATAAAATACATACTGAGCAATATACAAAAAATACAACCATATAAAATATATTTCACTGTTTGCCTACGACCTAAAGTTTCATGTGAACACACAGTTTATTTGCGACTCATGACACAATCGTCAAGTGATGGAAAAGAACGGGAAACTCAATTCTAAATTTTAATTAGGTTTCTTCTGCAAGCCGCCAAAAACAGTGAAACATAAGCATCTTTTATATATTGTATTTTTTGTATACACACACATATATATATATATTGTATTGAAATTAAAACAACCAGCAGATAGTTTCAACGCTTGTTCATCCTGGAATTTTTTGATAAATATATAAATCAAAATTCAATAAGTTATCTTTTCTTGGATTTTAGCTACACAATAAACTTGAAGAAGTCAGATTAACGATGGTGGATATAAAAAAAAAATAATAGAAATTCCAAGAATAAAAGCCTCCAGATATCTATCGACATGATAACATTTCGGAATGGAAAATTCCGAGAACATTTCTGGAAAAAGAAAATAAGCCATATGTAAATTGGTTACCTCACACGACATCTTATTTTTCATACGTCTTACATGTCCGTGTATGTTTGAGAAAGTTATGTAAGTGTGTGTACTTGCGTGTATCGGTTTACGTATGTGTACCAGAGTATTTAAATGTGTTTGCATATATTTATGTGAACGTTTACCTATATCCGCGTGTGTGCGTGTGTATGCGCACTATTGTATATAAGTTTATGCGTGTTTAAAGAATGCCTATATCTATAT